GATTCGTGGAAACCTCTCCCTCCTCAAGGAGTCTAGAAAGATAAGACGAAGTATTCCTCCCAAACTTGAGCTCTTTCAAGTTCTGAACACATCTTGGACTCCCCAGCTGCGCTCACCGATGGAGCCCAGTAACAAACGGGATCCTTCTTCCTATGCTCCCGGGTTAGGTTCTGTAAGCTTCAAGGAGCACCCCCCGAAAGCAACTAACGAGAACTTTGGTACGACTGAGGAATCTGGATAACCGAACCTATAAGACCCTGCAATACACAGTCTAAGACTTTCAACAGCAAACAGACAACTGTGACAGTAGTTCAAGGGTGATATGTGGCCTAAATAGGGTTTCCCAAGGCAGAGGTTGACATGGTTTAGGCCGTTTAGGTTAACATAGAGGCTTGAATAATTAGAACAGGGTTTTGGGGCACATTATACTATATAATTATACTAAGGAACACCTAAAATAGTATAAGTAGTTATTGAGGCCGCTATAATGGGTCGTTTAGGTTAGGGTTTAAGGTTCATGGTTTCGGGATGTTGGTGAGTCAGGGGCTGTTTTGCTCAATTAGGTTCAGGCTGTACCTCGACCACTCAACTACCGTAACATGTTCTACATACCCATAGGCTCCATTGTAGTTCCGTTTTTGGAAACGTCATAGGGTCCAAAATATAAACCACAAGAAGGGGACTACTATGGAGCCTCTAGGTACCCGCTATCACGGCATAAGGGCTCTAGTAACGGGCACATAACGTTCGGGGTCCCGACAGGCTTTGGGGTTCAGGGTTCGGACCAGCGGCCGACGAGGATGAACCGCAGGACGATCACCTCATGCAGAAGCTAGGATACCCAGTAACCTAAGAATAAAAAGGCCTCTCTTTTTGGTATTGGGTAACTTTATAAGGAACCTAGGACTACAAAAAGGGAATAAGGGTACTACTGGGCATCCTAGGAAGTGTATTGCGAGGACCGAGATTAAGAAGCCCTATATAAATCCTTATGACCTCATAACCCCCCCACCCAAAAAACACACACACACACACACTCAAACCCAAGCGTAGAAGCCCTACATCCTCAACCCATATGCCCTAACTAAGCCCTTAAACAAAAGGCTACACATGATGTGACTGCTTCGACCATTCCGGCAATGGTTCGAGCATGGAAGCGGTCGAGCCAATGAGCTGTTGGTACTAAACATAAAACCTGAAACCCAAGCCCCAATGGTAGAAACTCGGCCTTTGCAACGAAAGAATCACAAAGCTTGCACTTGCACTCTACTGGCTCCCAGTGGCTTAAAGTGAAACCACCTATAGATCCCTTGAAGGAACCCTTAAGGATCCCTTAAAGGATCCCCAAGGTCTAAGCATATACTATATAGCCACATGGAACCTGTACTTGGAGGATCATGGGACTTCGGGAGTAAGGGTTCCTTTAAGGGATCTATAGGGGTACTGCATGGGTCTAGGGTTTAGGGTCGACTTGGAGGATCATGGGACTTCGTAAGCGAGGTTATTATAAGGACCCTAGTTGGGGTTAGAAGTAATTATGTCTTTAATAATCTGCGGCCCCTCATTCGACGGGTTTTCAGGTCCTAGCTGTTCCATGTTGGCGCTCGCTTCAGTTTTCATAGGGTGTTGGATGCAGTTTGGGTTCCTACTAACTCACAACCTTGCACACCCTGGACCTTAACCCGACATGACATAATTGCAAACCCGATACCAATCCTCCAGCGAAAACCAAAAAACCTTTCTGGACCCGAAAGAGTCCCACTACCTAAGAATCACCAACCCCCCCCCCCCCCCCAGATTGCAGAGCCTCGAGTGCTAAGTGGACTACTCGTTCTGCTAAACCCAAGTATCTGCCTAATTAATCCTCAGACGCTTTGGACCCTCAGGGAACTATACCCCCCTTAGAACCATAATAAATACTAATGAACAAAAACACAAAATAATTTCCAAGCACACTATAGGGAACCCTAACACCACCTAAACCCTAAACCCTATGATGTGGGCCAAGAGGCATCTTCCAGCGATCGGCCCTGTACGCATGCCTTCAGCGTTGCGGAGAAGATTTCAAACACCTCGATACAAAACGGGATGGTGCAGGGTTGAGTGCAGGGTTTAGAGTTGAGGATCTTTGGAGATTATAGCTTTGGGTCTGGCTTTTTTCGAAAGGAGCTTGCTGGCCGCGTGCTGTGTTCATAGAACGGGCGTTTGGTATTGTTTTTCGTCTGCTGCTCTTACCTCGGAAGCACTGTTGATTTGGCAAACTTACTTAATTTCAGTAGGGACTAGTCTCTCTCTCTCTCTCTCTCTCTCATACTTCGTATAACTAAGTCAAGCAGAGATTTGGAAGGCTTTCGGGTGCGTTGACGTGCTGGGTTTTTTGCTTGCCAGGCCTCTGTTACGTTTCTTGCTCGTCAGGTTTAGGCATCTTTGGCATCTTTGGTGTGAAGGGGAAGCATCGCATCCTCCATATGGCTTCGTGTTATTAGTAGGTGGCAATTACGGCTCTGGTTGTTCCCGCAATGAACTATGGGTCTTTCGGCGATTCACAGGCTCATAGCTAAAACGGTCTAGGAGTCTAGAGTATGGGAGGTTTAGGCTGATTCGGGTTCAGGGAACGATTCCTTCCAGGTGCTTCATCTGCTTTAAAAATTAAAAGGCAGTTTAGGGTTCAGGGTTGAGGGCCTAAAAAAGGAGAATGAGGCTGACAAAGTGCACCTTACTTCAACCCCAAGACCCTGCCCGTACCTTCCCCAAGACTCTCAACATATTTTACCACCGTCCAAAACCACAAGCCCCAAATCAAAAGAACACTAAAGTCCAAAACCGACAGTCTAGCCTGGACCGTAACCCTACATTGCCCTACATTCCAAACTCCAACACTGCTTGTCCCTCACTTTTCAACACAACACCTGTTAGAAGACTTGGTAGCAAGGTCATAAGCAAAGCTGGAACTGTATTGGGATGACCCCAACCAGTGTACCTTTAATCGCAGGTATAAAGTACTTATGTACCAAATCGGTTGATGATTCTTTCTGTGACGCCGCAATACCCCTTTTGCAAACGCTTTAAGCCTAGAAGCATCATCCTGCTGTAGAGTGAAACCTTTGCAGTAATTGATACTACTCCTTACGGCTATGCCTACTATGCTCATATTTGGGCGTTTCCGAAAATTCGGGGTACCTTATGTTGGGCTCCTTATACTGAAGATCCTACTATCTAAGGTACTTTATTAGGCTCCCCTATTTTCGGAAAGTCTCATAGTTTCAAGAAAGACTCGGCTCTCTCTCTCTCTCTCTCTCTCTCTCTCTCTCTCTCTCTCTCTCTCTCTCTCTCTCTCTCTCTCTCTCTCTCTCTCTCCCTAACCCTAAACCCTAAACCCTAAACCCTCTCAATACTGGCCTATCTTCTTACCAGCCTGTTCCAATTAATCCGGCCCACGAGCCCTAAAACCTGTTCTCATTCTGCAACCCCTACAAACTCATAGGGACCCGTAGGGGGTTGGGGGGACGGGGGGCTGGGGGGCCTTAATGCCCATAATAAGGGCCTAGTACGGCCTGTTTAAGTATAGCTGCCCCCCACCCCCTTACCCCCGTAAGGGTCCCTATGATAAACCCTGAGGCCGTACCTGTAGGGTCATCTGAGGTACCCAGCTTTACTGTTTGGATCTGTTCAAAAAAAGTAAGTAACCTGAAAAAAGGGGTAGGGAAGGACAGATACGCAGAAAAAAGGATCATAGTCGAGCTGCACCCTGGTAGAGCAAAGCGCGGACGAACCGGAAGTCGCGACCAGGTATGAAGTGTCCTTCCTGGGCTCTTTCGGGTAGGACTTAGGGTTTATTCTAAGAGTTTTAAGGTTTAGGGTTTGGGGTTTCGGGTACAGATCCTTGACCCTAAACCCTTAACTAAACCCTAAACCTTAAACCCCAAACCCGAAGCGGTTTTAGCTTTAGGGGTCAAGGTGCAGGGTGCCAGCCTCACAGGCTTTAGGGTTGGAGGTTGCAAGATTCGCGGATTTGGGCATCGGAACCAGTGCAGTCTCTCTTGCATTGATCTGGCCGAGATCGACTTAGACGCTATGCCTGCCCTACTAAAACCCACACTCTAAATCCCCAAAAGAACCCAGATCCAAACCTGCACACCAGGCTTGCTGCTTTGAGGTTCAGGGTACGGTCACCACCTGTTTCACAGCGGTAGCAAAAGCCCAAGTGCAGGTCTTCTTATCAAAGGGAAAAGGAGGGACCCTTAATGGGGACCCCTACCCTATAATGGGCTATATAATAGCTACTGTATTTTACGGGTATACAGTATACACCTAGGGGTCCTCATTAAGGGTCCCTCATTTTCCCCTTTGATCTTAGTCATTCCTATTCCCAAGACCCTGGGTCCTGTAAGTTCTACTTGGATTGGCAGTCGTTGTAATTATAAACCCTGAGTACCCGAACGAAAAAGCCGCTTTGACCACGGAAATGCCCGTAAACTTTGGTAATGTGCTGAACACGATTCCAGGTACAGTCCGTAATTAATGGCTTCCTGCGTATCCCGGATCACGAATGAATTTGCGAACCCTATTGGGGCTTAGGCTTTACAAATTGGGATCTTCAGCACTGGGGTTGAGAATTCAGGCTTTAGGGTCTTCGAATTTAGGTTGACAGTTTCGGAGAGTCGCATGCCCATGCAAATCAGCACGCCGGCCTTTTTTCACGACCGCTTGCTCAGCCGATGGCGAAACATGACCAGCTAGTACAGAGGCCTTGACAGCTAGAACAAGGTCCTGCAGCACACCGAGAACCTGTTATTTAGGCAATTATTAAGGCCCCTATCGTAAACCCCCAAAATTCCCCTTGTAGTATCCTTGCAGACCCCTTGTAAAAGGAACCATTGAATTTAGGCCTACAGTAGAAGCCAGAAAGTTGGAATATCATTATCGTAACCCTTTCAAGGTAAATTATAGGGGATCCTACCATTAATCCATATTCCAACTTTCTGGAGTTCCCTTTAGGCCTACCCACGCGCCTTGATTGGGAGGCCCAGGGATGGAGCCATTTTCGCTCCCCTGGTTTTGATCGGCAAACCCATGGAGGCCACGGCGCCGTGCTGCCGCCTCTCTGCTGCGGCTCTTAGGGGCTTGAGGTCGTTACTTCTAGGGTTTCTTGGGGTGTAGGGCTTAGGGTGTAGGGTCTATCTAGGATTTAAGGTTTCTTGGGGTTTAGAGTTTATAGGGTTTATCTAGGATTGGGGTTTGGGGTTGAGGGTCTAGGATTTGAGGTTTCTTCTGGGGCCTTGCACAAGATATCTTGGAAGCCGGCACCCAAGACGTGACCCTAAAAAAGGAGTTCAGGTGCAGAGTCTCTGGATGAAGCGGATTCTGGCTAATAAAGAGGTCTGAATACATCCGAATAACTAGCAGTACTACCCTCAACCCTAGAACCTACATTCTTAAGAACCCCTCGGTGTGGGGGGCTTAAGACTCAAATCCTGCTTTCTTGCGGCTCTAACGGTTCGAAAACTGCACAACTGTAACTCTAAGTCCCAAACTCGAAACCCCAAACCCACTATAAGGGAATCTGGGTTTGAGGTCGGACGCTGCGGCTTATTTGTACAGTTTCGGGGCGTAGGGTTTCGGGAATACAGAAGGTTACTAGGGCGCGCAAGGTCCCAGTTCAAGGATTGTTAAAACGAAGAAGAAACATCGGAACGTAAATGATTCTGCATTCGTGTGCACTCCCGAATCTGTCTCTCGTTGCTGATCTGGAAGACGCTGCACCAGGTTTAATCACGAAGGCCTCGACATGCTCGAATAGCAAATCCCCCCAAACAACTCGAAGTGGGTCTCACCTCCTTGAGATGACCTTTCCCGACTGCACCGAAGCTGATGCCTGTTTAGGGTTTAGGGGTTTAGGGTTTAGGGGTTTAGAGTTTAGGGTTTCATCCCATCGAAGATCCAGATCAACGAATCCAGATCCCTCTGATTTTTTTGCAGAGACAACTCAGCCAGCAACGCTCTCAGGGCATTGCCGACGGTTCTGGCATCTTCGGGCATCGCTGGAAATCAGTATTACACCTTAAGTTGTTCTACAGACCTGCAATGCGGCCTTTCGGTTAGATTCCAATGCAATCGTGATCTGCTTGCGGAGCAGCAAGGCTCGGAGACATCGAGTCCCAAGAGACCTACCTACACCTACTAAACTTACCAAAAACCTTCATGAGCCCTGTGCACACCCAACAACCCTGGGTCTGAACCCTGCCTCATGGCACATAGACTCAGGGTGCATATCTATACTACCCTAGGTGTGGATCTCCAACAGTACCAACAGTTACTTTGTTAATGTAGAATAGTTGAACTAGGGCTCTCTGTTGAGCAATAAAGATATCAAACATATCCCGGATCGATATCTCGTACCTGACCAATTACTTCGCACTACCCGGACTTAGGCTTTGGAGGTTTCTGGGACCCTAAACCCTAAACCCTAAACCCTTAAACCGTACCCTAAACCCTAAACCCCAAACCCTAAACCCTAAACCGAGCTTCAGGGGGCTTCGGATTTAGGGTTCAGGGTGGGTTCGGAAAGTGTTTATAGTTGAACCCTAAGGGTCCAAGTAGTCCTTATTTATGGCTTTTGGTACCTAAAATGGACCCAAAGTCCTATAATAGGGAGTACTTGGACCCTTAGTTGAAGGGTTCAGGGTTTAGGGTGTTGGGGTCTAGAGCTGCGGGTTTAGAGTCTAAGGGTTCCCTTAGGTTCAAGTCTTTAGGTGCAAGCTCCACTGTAAACCCCAAACCCTAAAACCCTAAACCCTAAACCCAAAGCCCTAAACCCTAAACCCTAGACCCAAAACCCTAAGCCCTAAACCCTAAATCCTACACCCATAAACCCTAAGCCCCAAACAGCCCCTGCGCCTGGCAATGGGCAGCGCATTCAAAGAGGGAGCCGCAGGAGCTGCTGCTGCCGCTGCCGGTTTTGACAGCTCCTGCGAAACAGATTGTGGGGCATAGGGTTTAGGGGTTAGGGTTTAGGTAATATAAGGATTAGGGCTTAGGATTTAGGGTTTAGGGATTAGGTTTTGGGCCTTAACCTCCTGCGAAACAGATTATGGGGCTTAGGGTTTAGGATTTAAGGTTTATAGAGGGATTGGGGCTTGGGGCTTAGGGTTTAGGATTTAGGGTCCACGTAGGGATTAGGGTTTAGGATTCAGGGTTTGGGGATTAGGGTTTGTATTTGTATAGGGATTAGGGTTCAGGATTTAGGGTTTAGGGATTAGGTGTTGGGCCTTATAATTAGACAAGGGTTCCTTTAAAGGGTTCCTTTTAAAGGGGTCTACAAGGATTACTGTAAGTGAGGGGTATTATGGCCCTTTATAATCGGGGCTTTTATAAAAATAATTAGGGCTTTGGTGCCCATTATGCTATAATTATAATGAGGAACCCCCAAAATAGTATTGGTAATCATTCAGGCCCCCCTAAACCGGTGTCGAAGGGTTGAGGATGTGCGTTTTGGAGGTCACGGATCAGGGTTGCAGGGGTTCGGATCAAGAATGTTACGTGGTGAAGCTTCTGGGTTGGTATTCGCTTTTCATTTACGGTACCTCCTGCATGCTTCGGATTTGGAGTCTTCAGTAGAACTTAGAACTAGCCATGGTGTTGGTACCCTGCGCCGCACGATGTATGGTTACAGCATAATTCTACATGGCTTATCAGCTTGTTCTGCGGACCTCTATACTGAAGGACGCGGGCAGGTGATATAGTCGTTCAAAGGTTTCCTTCGCCTTTTGTTATACAGCTTCTGCTCAGTCTGGCAGGAGTTCTACAGCAAATAAGTATGTTATTGTACTAATTATTAAACCACCCTACAACAATTACTAAACCACCCTAAAACCTACAGTAATATCCTTTCGCACAACCTTCCTTCAGATGTCGGAACCTGGACAACGAGGTTCGACAAAGGTACAAGGATGATGCCATGCTCTGGTTTGGGGGTTCAAAGACTTCTGGATCACGGGTTTGGGGGTTGTACTTAAAGGATCATGGGACTAAGTAACTAGGGATATAAGGTAACTATACTTAACTACGTATAACCCCAATTAGGGCATTTACAACCTTACTTACACTGAGTTCCCTGATCCTCCCAGTAGGGTTTTTCTTTAGGTCTAGGTGTGTAGGGTGCTGGTCTCATAGGCATACAGTTCAGCTCCTATCACAAGCCGGAAGCCCAGCAAAGGCCCGATTACGGAACCTCAAAGTCTGCGAGCTAAACCCGGAATAGCTTAGAAGCTGCCCCTACCCTGTAATAGTGACTATCAGGGTTATATTAGGGCCCTATTATATGCCTACTAACTATTACAGGGTGGGGGCCCCTTGCAAGGAATAGCCCCAAATCCGAAGATTGGGAATTTGGTACTTGGAAATTAAGGATTTAGCACTCGCTATATAAGCATCGGGACGCCCTGCGCCTTAAACCAGTAACCACCAAGGCAAGCAACACGCAGCTCATGCCACGCCTTGATGTCTTGTGCGCGCACACCACCTCAGCTGAGGAGTAGGATTTTGGGCTTGTGGAGTGCAGAGGTTTTGAGTTCTCCTGGCCGTTGAAGCTTAATTAAGAACTGAGGCTACGGAACTTATTGTACGGCGATGAAGTGCTTTGTCCACTCATAGGCCTGCTGCAGATGATTTCCTTGGTGTTTATACCAGCAGCCTGCCCACAACCTGCATACTCTCCCTCTGATGGAGTTTACAGTACAACACCCTCAAATGCCTCCCCTAAACCCTAAACCCCTAACCTAGCAAACAGGACCCTCAAGTTAGAATACGCCGTGAGAAGCCCGTGCCTTTGCAATGCAAACACTGCTGTTCGTCGATTCAAAACTCTCAGCCTAGGGGAATTGATTCAGGGCTTCGGAAAATCAGGGCAATAGGCCCCTAAACTCTGAACCCCTAAACCCCTAAAGCCCTAAAGCCCTAATGCCCTAAAGCCCTAAACCCCTAAAACCCTAAACCCCTAAAGCCCGAAACCCCCAACCCCTGAACCCTACACCCCTTCAATCAGAGCACCCGCTTGACTCAAGCTCAGCCCGGTTGCGAAGGGCGGCCAAGAAGTGGTCGAAGTCCACATCCGCCGACTTCAAAGGGGAAAAGGAGGGACCCTTAATGGGGACCCCTGGGTCCCTATAATGGGCTATATAATGGGTATATAATAGCTATATTCAGGGTATATACCTAGGGGTCCTTATTAAAGGTCCCTCCTTTTACCCTTGGACGACTGGGCTTAGCATTTCTGCTATGAGGGCTTGAGATCTGGGCTAAGGGCGTAGGGTTTAGCGGTTTTGGGCTTGGGGCTTAGGCTTTCGGAAGCTGCGGGCTTAGGGTCACAGTGCATGCTGTGCGTGTACATGTGCTTGCAGCGCAGGTTGTACAGGACCGTAGTCGGGGTTCGACGGGATTCGTACGGTTTCGTTACGGAAGTTTCACCGTGCTTTCCACCAGGGCTCTAGAAGCCTCTTGGAACTTGTTATGTGTATATAAATACGTATATATGTACGTAAGCATGTGTACAGATATCTAATCATCTGCCTATCTATCTATCTGTATGTATATACATATATACACACACATAAGTTGGGAGACCCCAACATCAATAATCCTACGTCTACAGGCGTGGTTATAGGGCTTCTGAAACTCCCGATTCCGCGTCCTGCGTGAGGCTCAAGGCATCCACAGGTCCGAAGGGTTCAACCGTTGTGATATAGGGGTCCTTTAAAGGGATCCTTAAAGAGGTCTATAAGGAGGGATCTATAGTAGTATTCTATGATATAGGGGCCTTCAAAATGAGAACAGGGATTTAAGGAATATGATGCCCATAAGTAATTATAATAAGGAAACCTAAACTACCAAACACTGTAACTCCAAACATCAAGCTCCAAAATCGTCTCTGTCTCTCTCTCTCGCTCTCTCTCTCTGTCTCTCTCTCGCTTATGCCACGTAGAGGCATGTGTATTGTATGTCCGTCCGTCCGTCTTTCTGTCTGTCTCTCTGTCTTTCTGTCTCTGTCTCTGTCTCTGTCCGTATGTATGCATGCATGAGTGCATGTATGCCTGTATGCAACTATGTATACAGTACATACGCATAAAAGCAACGACCAACTTGAAGTCTGAACCCTGCAGCTAAACAGTACTCCAAACCCCCACGCTGGGTGTGCCTGGTTGTCGTCGTCGCCGCCCGTGAGCTCTTGCCAAAGCCTGATGCAAAACGGGCTTGGGTACATTTACATGCTGAATATTTCCTCCATAGGCTCCGAAACGTAGAGTACAAGAGTTTCGGGTTTAGTAACCCAAAGGCTCCAAGTATCATCATGGTACATACTTAGACCCCCAAAATGCCCTATAAGTATATACCAGAATGATACTTGGACCCTTTGGGTAAGGCTAACTGCTTACTTAAGGGATCAGGGAAGCGAGCAAGTAGGCCGTACTTGAGGTTCGGTGTAGAGCGACGCAGCGAAGGCAGTTGAACTACTACGCACATATTCTTACTACAACAAAAAGCCACTGAAACAGAAGGCTAAACTTTCTGATTCCTACGAAACTAAAATTTAGAAGAAACCCAAAAGTGTAAAGGTTAGGTATTGGGGATCTAAGTATTATTATATACGTGCGCACACATGTACCATTTTACAGAACTCCACTTACAGTCTATACGCACAGACTTATCAACTCTACTGATCCTTGAAAGTAGGGCTCTCAAGCCTCAAACCCATGCGGTGGAGGGCCTGAGAACTACGGTTGCTCTCCTACAGGTCCTTGAAACGAACGAATCCACTCAATGTCTATAGGAGTGTATACCACTTGAAAGTTCTGAACTTGCACTATCTGGGCGGCACAGCAAGCACACAGACCGCTGCATATCGAGAAAGCTTGAAAGAACAATGGATAATGAGATAGATGGATAAACAAGAAGGCAGGAACGACAATCACAGACGGACACATCGATAGATGGATAGGTGGGTTGCTATATAGGTAGAAGGGCATAGATAGACAGATAGCTTCAAGGTAGATAGGTAGATATAAGGATGGATAGATCGCGCGGTCGGTGCATCGATCCGGGATAGACAGATAGATGCGAAGCAGCATATGACATCTCTAGGAATCTTTTTATACATACATGTACACACACTTAGGCGTTGCAGCAAATGCATGCACGATTGTCTATGCATAAAACAATCTGCAACTCTGAATAAACCGCTACATGTGCATACGCACGATGTATGAACATACGTTGAGGTAAACGCAAGTGCCAGCTCACACACACACACACACAATCGAGAAACCCTCAACAATCGGAAACAAACAACATCTGATGAACTCTGCCCGAACACTGCTTCCGCAGCTCTGGCGAGAAGGTCCCCTCCATGCTCGCGCTGTTCCTGCATGATCGAAACCCCGTGATCCAGAGAGCCCAAAGCTAACAAAACTCAAAATCATGAACCCCAGACTCCCCCAAAGCCCCTGAACAAGCTAAACCGCACAGGTCGTAAGCGCATGAATCTTGGGGATTTCGAGTCGAATCACATAGAGTAGGGGCCTTAATAATTAGAATAGGGCTTGGGGGTATACGGTATATTATACCATAACTATATAATAAGGAATCTTCAAACCCTATAAGAATAGTTATAAGGCAGCTACAATCCCCGGAGCCCTACAAACCCTGTCCACGACTCTGAAAGCCTGACTCAAAGTCTTTAAGTGTTTGGGTCGTAGGGTTCAGGATTCAGGGTTTGGGGGTCTGGGGTTCAGAAAACTACATTATACGAAAGTTGTTGGGTTTACAGTAGAAGCCAGAAAGTTGGAATATCATTATCGTAACCCCTTTAAGGTAAATTATAGGGGATCCTACCATTAATCCATATTCCAACTTTCTGGAGTTCCCTTTAAGGTTTGGGAGTTAGGGACTATGGTTTGGTAGTCTAGGCCTTTAGGGAGTCTGTGCTCTGCTGCATCGGAGCATGGGACCATTCAGATGAAGCTGGAGTGGGAGAGTGGCTCCCCTGCTGTAGTCCCAATATAATCCGTTGCAGTAGCACTTACATGTATATATATATATATATATGTATATATATATATACATACACACAGAGAAAAACACACTACGGGCCCCATATTTGCAGCATTGCTGTTTTTCCATGATCTATACATATATATATACACACAGAGAATAACACACTACGGGCCCCATATTTGCAGCATTGCTGTTTTTCCATGATCTATACATATATATATATATATATACACATACACACACATATTTCTTCCTCCACTCTTCCCCACGCACCAGTAAGTCAAAACTGTGGGTCTAGGTTGTCAGCTTTTGGCGCTGGTCCGGAGCTTTGGCTGGCGGTGTGGCTTTTTCAAGGACCGCTTTTGCAAGGTTTTGAGAAAAGGGGAGGTGCGTAATTTTCAGTCTTTGGGGATGAATACTTCCGACTTGCAACCCTGAACCCGGCTAGGGTCACTAGAAAACTAGGACGACCCCTAAGGGTCCAAGTGCTGAAGAGCATGAGCTTTCGGCACCCCCCTAAAAACCCCAAAGGGGGACCTGAAAGCCCGACTGCCCAAGTGTGGGAAATGGCGTAAGAGCAGGGCTCCAAGTACCATATAATGTATGTTTGGGGCTTAGGGATTTAGGGTGTAGGGCTCAAGTCCTGAACATGAAAACCTGTGGGACCTACGAGGTATGCTCAGAACTACTGAAGCCTTAGAACATAAATATGAAAGCTGACATGCACATACACACACACACACACATGCACTTGGTTACGTCCCCTCAAACTTCAAGTACTACATGTAACAATCATGGCGACCTTTAAACTTACCCAATCCACAGCATGAATCCGAGCAACCCCAAACCCCAAACCCTAAAACACGGATCCGAGCTGCAAGACTTGCTGGAGCTCTTCGTACGTCACAGTGCCGCTGCAATCCTCTACATCGGGCACCAAACCCCCACTTTGTGTACAGTAGAAGCCCAAAAGTTGGAAACCCAATAGCCTCGATCCTTTAGAGTAATGCGTGGGGTATCACAGCACTATTTGGCCTTAATCCGGTTTCCAACTACTTGGGGGCTCAGAGCGAGGATAATCGAGGTAAGGATCCAAGTAAACCTAATCAAGCACCCAGAGCGAACAGTTCTTAAACTAGCACGGCAATCACAACCCCAAAATCTACACCCTGAAATCTCGAAACCCTAAACCGACATGGAATCTCCATTTTTTGGCAATGTTTCAGCAACTAACCGCAAACAACAACACAGACCTCACTCGGGGACTTCAAGACACTCACGCTTCAATATGGGCCCTTTACTTTAATCCCCATACAGCCCTATACAGTGTAGAAAGGGTTAGGGGATCGTAGAAGTCAACAACCAACTGTTTTTCAAGAAGATCTCAAAAAAACGAGCCAACACCACTTCTCCTTCAAGCAAACGACCCATACGTCAACAACTCAACCAAAACCCTGGCCCCAGCCCCCTTGCTAAACCTTGGGTCCTAATCCCTCAAGACTTCACACAACTTACCTTTGGTTAGTAGGGAATGGAGGAATGGGGTACAAAAATAACTACTATTACTGCGTGGGGGATTGATCTCGACTAGGTTGCTGCTCTCCCCACCAGAGATGTAATGAATGTAGGTGTGGCTGGCTTGCACTCTCCACAGACTGGACCCTGTCTCTCTCACACTTCCACACGTGCAATCCTATGCAGGCAGAACCGGCGGCCGTTCCTTTTGCACTCACTGCCGGCGGCGGTTCGTCTGTGCAACGGGATAGCTCTGATTGCTCAGGATAGAAGACACTTATAGCACTTAGCTATGGGCATTGACTTGAGCCAAACGTTGCGTGGGCGGTCACATAGAAAGGTAAAGACGAGGGACGCGTAGCGTGCCCCCTTAGAGTCGAGGGACGCGTAGCGTGCCCCCTTCTCTTGCACTTTACACGGTCTTGCTCACAGCTCTTATAGTGACACCTTAGAACTTGACAAGGCATCGCAGTCCGTTCGCACCCCCCATGAGTTGCGTCTCCGACGCTGCTCACCCGGAAGATGGCACGATAGGACAACAGAAAATGTTCCGCCGCAACGTTGACATTGAAAATCAGAGCTTTGCATCCCAATTAGAAACGTTGTGACACTCATCTACGTCAGTAACGATCCCCTGAAATGGCAAACGAATCAGGCGTCACCGAAGAAAGAAGCATTCGCGATGGCATTCCATGGGCGAAGCTCAGAGGTCACGAACTGATAGGCGAGGAAGACCAAGCGTTGATTCATCTCCATCTTCGCGTGGTCGCAGGATCGCGGTCCCAGGGCCGGAGGTTTTCCTCTGGATACTGTTCCCTTTGCTTTCCTTTGTCCTTGCCTTTGTTTCGGCCTTTGCCGGCGGTGTAGTCATAGTAGGTGTTGGCGTTCCAGCCTCCATGCTGTTCACCTCCGGTTCTCTCACGCCCTTTTGAAGGTCCCTTGGCCGAAGAAGCGCTTGCACGTTCCTCCGTAGTGACAGGCGTGTCCAGGATGGAAGTACCACCTGGAGGGAGATAGTCAGCGGCCGAAATGTGATGTAGGGCTTCAGTACGTTTGGTCGTCGGGTTTTGCTGTCTCTCAGCCTTGGATCTGTTCAATCTGTCCATGAAATGCGCAGGCATTTGCACATTGTGGTCCACCAGCAATCCAATGGTCTGGACTGAATGATCGGCATGAGTCAGCAGGATACCGACGGGGTCGATGTACAGGAAGTCCACCGGTCCAGTTGGCGTTGGTCGTAGCACTGAGAATTGTTGGTGTCCTGTCACCATCGGAATCACCTCGCACAGGACGTTCAGGCAACAGAAGTGCATAGCCTTCACATCTTCATCCCTGTTGCTCTTCAAGTACGTAGTAGGGTTGAAGTTGTCCCTGCCAATTCCCATCATGTTGGCTCCCCGTGTAAGCAACGAAAGCATCTGATTCGTCCGGAAGCGCTTCAAAGTGTAAGTCCCGTTGGGATCGTACTGCTTGAGGTTCTCAGGCTCCTTGGCAAAGCGAATGATCTCCTCATCAGTCACATCCCTGCTCACACCCGTCTCTCTGTCCACTACAGCCAAAGATCCCCACTTTCCGAGCACATCATAGCGTTGGCCAAGTGCGAAATTCTCCTTCATCTGGAACAACGGCATAGTAGCCCACTTCGCGAATCCTGACCAAGCCTTGTAGATGGTTCTGCATACCACGAATGCCATATACGAAAGAGCGACCATGTTGGCGTCAATGCAATGGGCATTTCGCTTCCCTGAGTAGTAGGATGGCTGCATGGCGGTACGTGCGAGTTGTAGTTCAGGATCGATGTTCAAAGACTGGCCGGCGATGAGGACGGGACGTCGTTCCTGTGCAACTGCATCTGGTACTGCGTCATCAAAGTCCTCTCCTGGCTCTGTGTCCATTTCTTCATCAGGTTCCTGTTCTGGATCGTCCTCCGCGATGACAGATGGTTCTGGGATTTCCTCAGGTTCCGCAACGGTCTCTACCTCCATGGCTTCCTGCTCCTCTTCGGGCGCCTCAGGCACTGCTGCTGCCGCGGCTTCCATTGTCTGAGCAATGAAGTCACTGGGGATCTCCGTAGGAGTCTCCCGTTGTGGAGAACCTTGGTAATATCCGCTAGAAACGAATTGTGACCAGCAAGACGTGCATCGGGAGAAGCATGCTGGAACGATGTTGTAGCATGCCGGGCACACCCTCATTCTCCTTCCATCCTCGTCTCTGCGTAGGTCTTCGGGTCGCCAATTCTTGATGACAAACTTGATCCCTTTGTCCATGTAGTGATGCCGAACCGTGTTCTCCCTGTGGGACTCCAGGACAGTCGTAAGGTCTCGAATGATCTGCTCCTTGCTGGTGTCGTGGGGTCCAGGAGGCATCTCGCAAAGCAATTCCATGATCTTGCTTGGTGTTCGGTATCTCTCGAACTCAGGGAGCAAAGGTGATGCATTGTAGTCCAACACCATCTCTTTCTCCAACCGTTCATCGTAGATCTTTTCCACCAGAGCGAAAGAGTGTGTATCTTGAGGATTCGGGACGCAAAACCATACCTCCTTGACGAACTGGAACGGTATCGTTCGGCCAACGATCATGATGCCGCTGTCTGTGATACGTCCATCTTCTCGTGCAAGGTCCTGCGATGGGACATGGAGGACCGCCAGCGGCATGTGCTTGGCATCTCGTCCATGTACCCGCATCTTGGTCGTCGCATTCCGGTGATCGAACGGTGCAAACACCCCCCAATAGCTGTGGAGTCTGCCGCCTTGGTTGCCTCGAAATTGGCGCCTATGGTCGAAGTCCCCGTCGGGGTCCTCCGAACCAGGCATGATGCCTTGCGTGACAATGGAATCCAGGTTGCGGCATGCCGTAGCGTGGAACGCGCCTCCAAGACGTTGCAAGAGGGTCATAGATGGAGATATTGCGAACCTGTTCTTGTCCAACTGAAGCAAATTGTTCTGGGGATCTGAGTGCGCAGAGTGACCACTTGTAGCCCGAACTGCCCATGGCTTCACCCAGCCGTTGCAAACGTTCAGGTACCTCTGGCTGTGCCGGCAACGATCATTGTTCTGGATCTCTGTGATCTGGTCAGGAATCGATACCAACATGTTCGAACCTGCGGATCCAAGAGTTTCCACGCCGGGGTCCTTCACTCTCACTCCCAGGAACTGCAACCGAATCTTGGCCTTGTGGCGTCTCGTGGCTGCGAGCATGTTCCCTTGGAACAATAGCTGAAGTCTTTCATTGTACACTCTCTTCCTCTGTTGCTCATCGGTCCTTGAGACCGCTTCGGTGATGCGTCTGCTGTCATGGGTCCATAGTTGCTCATGCCTCACCAAATCCTCGATCAGCACCCACCCTCCTTCATCACATCGAATGACGCTGCTGAATGCCACCTGGCACCTGTTAACTGTCAAGCCATTCCGAGCCTGGGCGCCTGGCAATTCTGTGACGCAGGTCAGATTGAATGCATGATAGCGCCCAATCCGCGTTCCTCCTGCGATGATGGGTGATGTTGCGAAGGACAACTTCGTTCACGATGTCCCATCGATTGTGGATGAAGCTTGCACCCTTGGTTGGGATCAGGTCGAGAATCCCGCACCGGATTGGCCTTCCGCCGCCGATGCATTCGTAGCCTGCATTGGTGTAGCCCTGAATGTATCATCATATTCAAAGCTAGGACGGTCTCCTCGTTGAGGTAGGCGTCGGTCGCGATGGTCCGAAAGCTGCTCAATGAGGTCCACCACCCGCTGGCTATTCTCTGGTCCCATGTCCTGCAGTGGTACGCCACAAGCATCATGTAGGCCCCGACGGTTCTCCACATCCGTGCAGAGATTGTGTTTGTTCTCATAACGGATCAAGACCACATCACCCCGTACGGCTTCGCCTCCGCGTCGCGGTCGGGCTTTGGCCTTGGGTCGTCGGTCCGAGGATGCAACACTCACATGGTCTGTGGTGTCAACGTCCATTGGCTCAGCCTCTTGTGGAGGTACTCGACGTGGATATCGAAGAAGGCTTTCCTTGATGATCTGGAGGCCTCGAAGTACCAGATCCCGGGTCGCAGCATTTTCCGTGCAATTGGATAGATGGTGTTGATCACTGCCACAAGCGATACAGAACGTGAGGCGATCGTTTCCGACCGACATTTCGCCCTGAGCGAGTACTCCCACAGAGTCCTGAAGCTGCGCGACAAATCCTTCACGAATCATCTGCCTGGGATCAGGGCCTTCTGCACCTTGTTCTTCCTCGGGTTGCGCATCCACATCTACATCCTGTGCAGGTATTGGTGGAGCAACGGAGAACCCTGGATCGTCCGTGACGTTGTCAGCGGCCTGTGTCTCGTCGGTTCTCGCAATCTCTACGGGGTAGATATCACCATCGACGATCACTGTGAAATCAATCACGAGGTCAGCGGACATGTTG